TCTTCCTAAGCCTTAGGAGTACCCTTATTAAGTTAATAACAATGTACCTACCTATATAGTTTAAGTTTAAAAAATTTGGCTCTCAAAAGAAATTTCAGTCGTTGTACTGTTGATATTTGGCTCTGTTGACTAATGAGTTTGCCGACCACTGTTCTAATGTATCCATCCCTCAATTTCTTCTCTAGCTCTAATTCCTAATTCTTACCTGATGATCCTTGCCCCCCAGTCTAGACTTCTCTCTTGTATTCATACCCTCAGGTTCATATCAGTGCTTTACAGTCTCAGCATATGTCAGACTGAATTCATCCATCCTCTGAATTTTGCACCTTTTTTTGTTGTTCAGTAACATTTATTCAAAATTCAAGATTTAAAAGTAATTCTTCCAAAAAATATGCTTAAACAAGTTATTGGATTATTTTGCAGTATTTTTTTTTAAATTGAGGTATAATTGACCTATAACATTATGTTAGTTTCAGGGGTACAGTGAAATGTATATATTTGATATTTGTATATATTGCAAAATGATCACAGTAAGTCTAGTTAACATCTACCACCATACAGTTACAAAAATTTTTTTTCTTGTGATACAAACTTTTAAGATTTATTCTCTTAACAACTTTCGAATATGCAGTACAGTATTAACTATTCACCATACTGCACATTACATTCTCATGATTTATTTAATAATTGGAAATTTGTACCTTTTGACTCCCTTCACCCATTTTGTCCCCCAACCCCCAGATATGTTCTCTGTATCTATGAGTTCTGGGGGGTTTTTTGTTTTAGGATTCCACATATAAATGAGGTCATATGGTATTTGTCTTTCTCTGACTTTGCCATTAAGGTCCATCCAACTTACACTAAAAAAAGGAAAGAAGGAAAATGGCAAGGTATTTCTTATGACTGAATAATATTTCACTATGTGTATGTCACATTTTAATTCATCCATTGATGGACACTTAGGCTGCTTCTATGTCTTGGCCATTGTAAATAATGCTGCAGTGAACATGGGGGTGCATATATCTTTCAAATTAGTGCTTTCCTTGAGGTAAATACTCAAAAGTGAAATTGCTGGATCATATGGTAGTTTTGTTTTTAAATTGTTGAGGAACCTCTATATTGTTTCCCATTTGGAATTTACATTCCCACCAACAGTGCACAAGCGTTCTTTTTTCTCCACATCCTTGCCAATACTTATTGTGTGTTTTATAACTCATTCTAGCAGATAGGAGGTGATATTGAACCTTTTTTTCATGTACCTGTTGGCCATCTGTTTATATTCTTTGGGAAAATGTCTATTATCCTTTGCCCATTTTTTAATTGGATTGTTTGTTGTTGTTGTTAGCTATTGAGTTCTTTATATATTTTGGATTTGGATTTTGATCCCTTATCAAATATATGATTTGCATATACTATTTTCTATCATTCAATAAGTTGTACCTTCATTTTGTTGATAGTTTCCTTTGTTGTACAGAAGCTTTTTAGTTTGATGTGGTCCTACTTGTTTGTTTTTGGTGTCAAATCCAAAATATCATTACCAAGATCCATGTCAAGGAGCTTACCACCTATGTTTTATTCTAGGAGTTTTATGATTTTTGGTCTTACATTCAAGTCTTTACTCCATTTTGAGTTGATTTTTGTATGTGGCATAAAGGAATGGTCCAGTTTCATTCATTCTTTTGCATGTGACTGTCCAGTTTTCCCAACACCATTTATTGAAAAGACTGTCCTTTCCCCATTGTATATTCTTGGCACCTTTGTCATAAATTGATCACATATGTGTGGGTTTATTTCTGGGCCTTCTGTACTGTTTCATTGATCCATGTGTCTGTTTTTATGCCAATACCATACTGTTTTATTATAGTCTTGTAATATTGTGTGAAATTAGGGAGCGTGCTGCCTCCAGCTTTGTTGTTTTTTCTGAAGATTACTTTGGCTATTTGGGTCTTTTGTGGTTCCATACAAACTTTAGGATTATTTGTTTTATTTCTTTGAAAAATGCCACTGGAATTTTGATGGGGATTGCATCGAATGTGTAGATTGCTGTGGGTAATATGGACATCATAACAATACTAGAGGCCCAGTGCACGAAATTCGTGCACAGGGGAGGGGGGGGGGGTCTCTCCTCAACCCGGCCTGCACCCTCTCCAATCCGAGATGCCTCGGGGGATATCCAACTGCCTGTGGGATCAGGCCTAAACCGGCAGTTGGACATCCTCTTGCAATCCGGGACCGCTGATTCCTAACTGCTTACCTACCTGCCTGGTCGCCCCTAACTGCCCTCCCCTGCCGGCCTGATCCCCCTAACTGCTCTCCCCTGCCAGCCTGATTACCCCTAACTGCCCCTGTCTCTGCCCCGCAACCATGACTTTGTCCGGAAGGACATCCAGAAGAATATCCGGAAGATGTCTGGTCTAATTAGCATATTACCCTTTATTAGCATAGATTCTTCCAACCCATGAGCATGGAATATCTTTCATTAATATCTTATATAGTTTTCAGTGTGCAGGTCTTTTTCCTCCTTGGTTAAATTTATTCTGAGGTATTTTATTCTTTTTGAGGCAATTATAAATGGGCTTCTTTTAAAATTTCTGATAGTTCATAATTAGTGTATTGAAATGCACCATATTTTTGCATATTGATATTGCATCCTGCAACTTTACTGATCTTGTTTACTAATTCTAAGAGGTTTTTGGTGGAGTCTTTAGGGTTTTCTATATATATGTCATTTGCAAATAATGACAATTTTACGTCTTCCTTTCCAATTTAGATGCCTTTATTTTCTTGCCTAATTGCTCTGGCTAGGACTTCCAATACTGTTGATTAAAAGTAGCCTTGTCTTGTTCCTGATCTTAGAGGAAAAGCTTTCAGCTTTTCACCATTGATATGATATTAGCTGTGGGCTTGTCCTATATGGCCTTTATTATGTTGAAGTACATTTCTTCTATACCAACTTTATTTAGAGTTTTTGTGATAAACCCTTCATTTTTTAAAAAATGTATTTGTATTGATTTCAGAGAGGAAGGGAGAGGGAGAGATAGAAACACCAATGACAAGAGAATCATTGATTGGCTGCCTCCTGCATGGCCCCCACAGGGTATCAAGCCCACAACCCGGGCATGTGCCCTTGACCGGAATTGAACCCAGGACCCTTCAGTTCGCAGGCCAATGCTCTATCCACTGAGCCAGACTGGCTAGGGCAAGCCTTCATTTTCTTAATGTGCTGTATCACATTGATTAATTTGAACCATCCTTGTATCCCTGAACTTTGCACCTTCTGCATTCCCTATTTTAACCTAGCAGGTATAATTATGCACTCATTTGATCAAACCAGACACTGAGTCATCCTAGATGCTTTCTTCCTCTCCCTCCAGTCACTCACTACTCTGCCTTCAGCATTTTTCTCAAATCTACACCTTTCTTTTTGTCCTTCTGGACATTACCTAGGTTTAGGCACTCATCCTGATTTGGCTGCCGAAAGATCTGAAACCATATCCGATGTGTTACTTCCCTGCTGAAAACCCTCTCTTGACTCGCCATTGTACTGTCCCCCCTGCTTCCTCTCCAGGCCCATCTGCCATGCCACTCTGTGCACCTGCTGTTCCCACAATGATTGCCACTCTCTGCTCTGATGCTTTCCCACCTCTCCCCTGTCCTCTGACAGCTCTGGGAAGCGCCTTTGCCCCTCCCCCACATCTGTTTTAGGTGTTCCCCCTTCTGCCTGGAGCATGTTGCTTAGAAACCAGGGAGGTAGAGTAGAGAATGGCTGTGTGTGGGTTTGAATTCCAGCTCTGCTGCTTGATAGCTTTCTGAACTGGGACACTATTCTCTAGGCCTGTTTCTATGTGGGTCAGGGTGGAGTGGACAGTGCTCCTTTACAGAGTTTAGTGAATGTAGTTTTCATCTTAGCTTCTCACATTACTAACTCATCCATCAGGAGTCAGCTCAATACTTATCTGCCCTACACATACCCTTCCCTGTCCAATTCCCCCCGAAATAACTTCTCCTTAAGGTTGTTTTAGCAGTAACGGCTAACATTTATTGAGTGCCTAATTTGTGCCATCTATTTTTCTAAGTACTAGGTGTACCTGTTAATAATAGCGGATTTTGTAATCAAAGGAAACACATTAATTTCAAGAGAAACATCAAAAGTTCTTTATTTAAAGTAATGTCCATCGCTAGCTACGCATTTCCCCTTTTTTCAGGTAATTTGTGGATACCGTCCCAATAGCACTTTTCTTGTTTTGAGGCAAACCATTCCGAGACCCAATTTTCCACTTCTTCGTATGTTTTTTGTTTTTGTTTTTTTAATATATTTTATTGATTTTTTACAGAGAGGAAGGGAGAGAGATAGCCAGAAACATCAATGAGAGAGAAACATCGATCAGCTGCCTCCTGCACATTTCCCACTGGGGATGTGCCCGAAACCCAGGTACATGCCCTTGACCGGAATTGAACCTGGGACCTTTCAGTCCGCAGGCCAACGCTCTATCCGCTGAGCCAAACCGGTTTCGGCTCTTCGTATGTTTTGAAGTGCTGCTCAGAAAGTGCATGTGTCATCGATCGGAACAAGTGGCAATCTGAAGGAGCAAGGCCTGGTGAATACAGTGGGTGGGTTAATACTTCCCAGGCAAGATCTTTTAATGTTTTTAGCTGATTTTGAAGTGTGTGATGGTGCGTCATTATGAAGCAAAATTACCCTGCCGTGTCTTCTGGCCCATTCTAGTTGTTTCTCGATCAAAGCATGGTTTAGATTGATTATTTGTTGTCAGTAGTGATCAGTATTCACGGTTTCACCTGGTTTTAGAAGCTCATAATACACCACACCTTCCTGATCCCACCAAACACAGAGCATTGTCTTCTTTCCAAAACGATTTGGCCTTGCAGTCGATGTTGATGGTTGACCTGGGTCAACCCATGATCTGTGCATTTGGGATTCTCAAAATAAATCCACTTTTCATTGCCAGTCACAATTTGATGCAAAAAAGACTTTCTTTCGTGCCGTTGAAGCAACTTTACTGATGACTTTTTGGTTTTCCGTTTGTCTTTCGTTCAGTTGATGTGGCACCCATTTTCCTTCCTTTAAAACAGTGGTTCTCAACCTTGTGGCCCTTTAAATACAGTTCCTCATATGGTGACCCAACCATAAAATTATTTTCATTGCTACTTCATAACTGTGATGTTGCTACTGTTATGAATTGTAATGTAAATATCTGATATGCAGGATGGTCTTAGGCGACCCCTGTGAAAGGGTCGTTCAACCGCCAAAGGGGTCGTGACCCACAGGTTGAGAACCGCTGCTTTAAAATCTTTCCCATTGCTTGTAAATGATTGGACATTGTTTGCCGAGCAATGTTTAATCTTTCTGCAAGTTGTTTTGAGTTTGACACGCATCTTCATCCAATAATGCTTGTAATTGTTGGTCTTCAAACTTTTTCGGTTGACCTGGACGTTCTTTGTCTTTCACATCGAAATCATCACTTTTAAAGCGTTTAAACCAGCGTTCACAAGTATCTTGAGATGGAGCATGTTCACCATAAGCTTCCCGAAGTATATGAAACTTTCAGCAGCACTTTTCTTCAAAATAAAGTAGTGGATTAAAACTTCCCGCAAATGCTTTTTTTTGGCATGAAATTCGACACTTTTAAGTGTAAAAATATCTATGATGTTAACACCTTCAGCAAATTTGACATATGATGGTTTGAAGCTTGTTGTCAATACAACAAAATAGCATACATATCAAATCGCATATATATCAACATGTGTAACTCCATCTATTGGAAAAAAATCTGCATTATTAACCAGTACACCTAGTATTTCGCATGCATTAATGTATTTAATCTTCACAGCTACTATTTTATAAAAGTGCAAACAGCCTGAGATAAGGGCACTTGCTCCTGCTTCCACTGCTGATAAATGGCTGAGGTGGGATCCTGAAACCAGAGTCTGGTCTGAGAACCCAGACTCTGTCTTATTATCCTGTTTAGTTCAGCCTTAAACATTTATTGCATGAATGAAGTTAACATGTTAGGTAACATGTAAAATGCCCATCCTGGTACCTTGCATGGGACAATTAAAAAAATGTTGAATGAATGGTTCTTGTTCCCTGACAGCCTTGAGGACCTAAGGGCCCTCAAAGGGAAGTGTTTTCTTCTGGATCCCTTGTTGCCAGAGCTGCTTGTGTTTCCTGCCCAAACAGATCTGCATGAACATCCACTGTACCAAGCAGGTCACCTCATCTTACAAGACAAGGTAGGGACGGTGGGTGGAAAAGGAAAGAATGTGTAGAAGTGACCAGCTTGGAGTCTGTTCACCAGCAGTTGTGCTTTGCCCTGCCAGGCTAGCTGTCTCCCAGCCATGCTGCTGGCCCCGCCCCCAGGGTCCCATGTCATTGACGCGTGTGCTGCCCCGGGCAATAAGACCAGTCACTTGGCTGCTCTTCTGAAGAACCAAGGGTGAGTGCCATGGTCAGACAAAGGGAGGGAATGGGGTCGGATCCTTTAGCTGGTGAGAAATAAGGAACTCGTCTTCCCAATAGGTCTGAAGGCTGAAAGGAAGATTTTCCTTTAAATATTTCCCTCTGGACTTAGAGCAGTTCCTGGTATAGCCCCCAAATAAGCTTCCCAGTGGGTTGCAGGTGTGAGAAGTGAATTCCTTAGTCCTTTCAGGCTGTGTAAATGTTACCTTCTGCATGTCCCAACTTAATGTCCATTAGATGGTGTATAAACTCAGTTAACCTCAACTCTGGCCTTGTCTGTAGGAAGATCTTTGCCTTTGACCTGGATGCCAAGCGGCTGGCGTCTATGGCTACTCTGCTGGCCCGGGCTGGAGTCTCGTGCTGCCAGCTAGCCGAAGAGGACTTCCTGGCAGTTTCACCCTCAGACCAGCGTTATCGTCAGGTCCAGTACATTTTGCTGGATCCTTCCTGTAGTGGCTCTGGTGAGATGGGGAGAATTCATAGCCTAGGGACCAACAGATCAAGAGCGGCCTTAGAGTGGAAGAGTGGTAGCAGTTCATTTAGGTCTTGGCTTTATTTAGTTCTGACTCGAATTGTCTTGTGACCCTGGGCAAATGTTCTTATAAAGTGGGGATTTCAGAATGAATTTAATGAAAACACTCTTTCCCTAGGTATGTTGACTAGACAGCTGGAGGAGCCTGGGACAGGTTTACCTAGCAAGGAACGTTTGCGTGCCCTGGCAGGGTTCCAGCAGCGAGCTCTGTGCCATGCGCTCACTTTCCCCTCCCTGCAGCGCCTGGTCTACTCCACGTGTTCCCTTTGTCAAGAGGAGAATGAAGATGTGGTACAGGAGGCCCTACAGCAGAGTTCGGGAACCTTTAGGTAGTTGGCTTTCCACTAGGGTCTTGGGGAGGGGAGAGGGCTGCTCTTTTACCTAGAAGTCTGTGTGCTCTTCTCCACAGGTTAGCTCCTGTCCTACCCTCCTGGCCCCACCGAGGCCTTAACACTTTTCCAGGGGCAGAACACTGTCTCCGGGCCTCCCCTGAGACCACACTCACTGGTGGCTTCTTCATTGCTGTACTTGAACGGGTAGAGGTGCCAAGGTGAGCAGGGGGCCTGCTGGGAAGATGATAGAAGACTGGGACACATCTAACTTATACTTTTCTTCTAGCTCAGTTTCACAGGCCGAAGTATCAGCACCAGAACTTAGGTCCAGCCCTAGCCCAGCTCCGAAGAAAAAGAGGCGGCGGCGAAATGCAGCAGCTGCTCCTAGCATGCTACCTTGCACAAAGCAGGTGCTCAAAACTTTGACTTCTTGGGTGGAGGAAGGGATGACACTGGTTCTCCCTTCGGCTTAGCCCCCAGCCCCAGGCATCAGTTTAGTTTTTGAAAGGTTCTGTTCTTTTTGTTGCTATAGGAAGGAAATTGATAGCCCTGTTTCTCCAGCTGGGAAGACAGAGCGGATTGCCTCGTCCTTTTCGTACCTTCCCAGAGCCATGTTCTTGCTGTTGCGAGAAGTGCTACCCACAAAAATAAAAGGCAGGACATGGTCTACGATAGATCACAGTTTTTTTTTATTCTTAATGACATAAGCAAGGAGAAAAATCTCACATTCATACTAAAAATTCCAACTAGACTCACAGGAATTAAGTCTTTATTTGTAATGGAAAGTCCCAGCCTCCCGTTCCTGTCCAGTGCACGTACATGTACACATACACACACACACTCACACTCAGGCTGTGCCAGGAACCCTCTTCAGGGGGTTCCTGGACCAACTGCCCTGCCTGTGGAACTGAGGTAAACTAGCTTAGAGTACTAAAACTAAGAGGGTCTACCTTACTTAAGGTATAGGTAGAAGCTTGATTTCTAGGCCCGTGCCCCACCACACCCCTCCAATTCTAGTAGGTATTTGAGACTTGAGGTTCAGGCTCCCTCCTCAGCTCCACAGACAGTTAAGTATTAACAGAGCTCTTCTAGGGGGTGGGGAGCAGTCAGTCCCCTGCCACAAAACTTTCAACCTCAGTCACAAAAGGGTGAGGGGGACTAGTTACATCTACATCACATTATTTATAAAAAAAAAGAATTACATTTTACATAATGTGTCCAGAAGGAGCTCTAGTCACCCCAGGAAAGCTGTCTGGGACAGCACTAGAGCCTCTTCTTCACACAGGCATAACTTAACTATACAGCTAATTCCTAATCAACAGCATTTATACTTAACCACCTCAATGAACCAAGCTTGAAGGAATTTAAAAGGCAATTTAGCTTAAATACAAAAATAAATTTTTATTTTGTTAAAAAATGTTTAAATATTTTTTCTTTTAATTTAGACACACGCATTCATACTTCTCCCAAAGAGGATGGGCATGGCAGCAAGGCTCTTAGGCCTGGGGTATGTGGCTTTGAAACAAAGAAAGGAAGGGTTGAGGGGAGAGGGGGTGGCGACTAAGAATTTGAAAGTGTGGCTCATTAATTTAGGTTTTCTAACATATACTAGGGGTGTTCGAGCCTCCTGTGAGGTCAGGTAGGTAGGAGAGAGAAACAGCAGAGGGAAGAGATGAGGTCTTTGCTTCCCCTTGGCCCTATCCTCCTGGGCTGCCAGCCCTTAAAGTCAAAACACCATTTGAAAATTCAGGAGTTGGCACTTGTAGCCGTAAAGTGGTGCTACTTTCCACATTCAATTAGCTAAGTCCCAGAAACTTGAAACAGATAAGTCCGGCACTACCAACATGCCGCCACTCATACAATTCAATTCTTCCTCCAAACTCGATTCAAAGAGAAATAGACATGAGCATCAGACAAAGTAACACAGGACAAGGCTTTAAACATACAGTGCCAGAGAGGCAGACGTGCCCAATGAGGCCAGCAGGGATAGTGGGTGAGGAGGCAGCTGAAAGCAGCGGTGGGCATCCTGTCTGCTCCAAGAGCTTTCCTCCCTGGAGTGAGGGAATCACCCCTGGATCTGCCAGGCTAACAGTCTTGAGCCACCAAGCTTTTAGGGGCCGAACTGCCAGATAGGATTAGGGACAAAACACTGACTCAGACTTGGCAAGAGGAAGTGAAATAGCAGGAGCAGCATCCACTGGGGTCTTCAAGGCAAAGCTTGATTCAAGATCATTTAAAAAGCAATAGATCCTGCAAGGAGCCAGTTGAGGGACAAAGCAAGAAATGGGGAAACAGTCCCCTAAAGGGACCAGAGAACCACTTTTTATAGCCAAGCCAAGCAAGGTAAAGCTTTAGGGATAATCCATTTCCCCCAATCCCACTAAATGCATACCAGAGAGAGAGGTGGGCAGGGCTCTACCTACTACCCTCCAGCAAAGATGGCTCGCTGGGGAAAAGGTGGGAAGGAAGGCTGCCTGACTAAGCTTATATACTAAACAAGTGAGGGAAGTAAGTGGACAGTATGTACAGATGTTTCTTTAGTTCTCTCCAGCCTCACCAGTGGAACTGTTCAAGTAAAGGTATCAGGCTTCTGCCCTGCCACATCCTCCCCTTCCACCAAGAGGCCTGAGGCTTCCGCTTCCTCTGAGAGAGGGAAATGGCCCCCAGGGCTGCTACTACCTCCCTGGTGGCTGAAGCCAGGTTTGCTGTATGGAACTTGATGGGTTAGAGGCTCTTCCTAGCAGGTACCAAGGTCCAGATTTGGGCAAGGGGTGGGTGGAATGGAGGCAAGGGACAAACACTATTTCTTGCGGGGGTGCTGCCTTCGGGCCTGCAGTCGCTGTCGAGCCCCTGGGGTCTTGGATCCTGCACCAATGGAAAATGAAGGGGCCGTCGATCCTGGAAAGATTCAACAAAATCTCATCAGGGCAGCTGCTACCTGAAAGCATTTCTTTGGTTGCCCCAATCTCTGGAAAGTTAGGCCAACAGGACTGTGGGTGCTTGAAGAGGGGGGGGGCTTCCAAAGCTGTATCAATTGCGCTGGGAGAGGGGCCTATTGAAAAGGCAAAACCCCAAATCACAGATAGTCTGGGAGAGGCCCAGAAGACAATTTTACCTGGCTTTCCAGGGATCCAGGAAATTCAGCCCCAAAAGGCTCCTCTGCTGTCTGCCGCCAACTCCAAACCTTGGTTGTGCTGGACTCTCAATCTGGCCACATCTTTCTCATGCTTTCAGCCTGACTTTCCGGAGAAGGCCTCAGAGAGCCAGGAAGCTACCAGCCCACCCCACCCTACTCCCTCTTCAGAGAAGAATAAGCAGGCCATGCTGGCAACAGAGAGACTTGCCAAGCTTACCGAAAGGTCCGACGCCAACAAAGCCTTGGGTGGGTGTTGAGGATGCCCCAAAGGAGAGGCTGCTTCCTGATGTGCCCACTCCAGGGGCAGGGGTGTTCTGACCAAAGGTGGGTGTGGAGGTGCCTAGAATGAAGAAAAAGCAGAGAACTGTAGAGACCAGGCCAATGAGCAGAGGGTATCAAAGCAGATGGTAATGAACCTTGCAGAGATCTGCTCTCTGTATGGGCATTCCCCACAGGACATCTTAGCTCTGGTTCAGCCACCAAAAGGACTAGGTTACCTCCCTCCTTCTATCAGGACTAATCATGTTATTCCTCTTCTCCCTGTTAAACAGGTTGGGTTTTACCAGTTATACCCTCCCCTCCAGAAACCAGAGCCTTCCACCAAACTCACCACCACTCCAATCCACCCTGTAGGTTGCCTAATCTGCCCATGGGGTCAGTCATCAGCAAACTCCCTTGCCCTCCCTCACTGAATCCTGATGCTCAGTAGTGACGCTTTCTCTACAGCCCCTTTCAGGGAAGGCTGCATTCTCTCACATGTACTTGTCTCAGCCCAATGTGGTATAAGTATCTTTCTTGATCCCTGAGGCCCAGACCTTGCTACCCCAATCTATTCCTCTATCCAACCTCCACCACCTACACCTATCACCACCAGGAACTGTTCTAGCTCCCCTATCTTAACTGCAACTACTGTACTCTTTTCCCAGCTGTTTCTAGTCCTGCATTTCCTTAATCTCATTAAGACCTCCAAGTTCACTGCCCCTCCTGCTATATTTGCTTGAGTTTAAACAGGTTGGGTTTTACCAGCTACCTACTTATTTTAGATCTATACCTCAATGACTGAAAGTTGCTAGGGAAAAACAGTGCTAACTGGTCTCACTTTAAATTCATAACAATTTTCCAGCCCTCAAACTGCACGGCAGTTAGTTGTATTACTTTCTCATTACCTTCCTTTCCACTCTCCAAAATGACTATTTAAGAGGCTCTCCTCTGTACACACTTCACTGTAATCCACTCCCCAAGATCTCTAATGAAGAAAATATAAACTATCAGGATCAAAACTTCTCATTCATCTTTCATATGGCAAGTAAAATCACTTCATTCTTCTGCTTGAAATTCTACAGTGATTGCCCTTAGTACTTAAAATCCAAACATTTAAACCCTGGCCATGGATGATCTTCAATTCTGCCTACCTCTCACCTCTTTTCATACCATCTACACTTTTAAACTTCTAGCCACACCTTGCTTTTATCTGTTCATACCAGGCTTGTTTCTGCCTTTGGGCCTTTGCGCTCTCCCTGTGCCTGCAAAGCTCTCACACACACCTACCCACCTGCACTTGCAACCACTTTCTGTCACAAATAGTCTTGGCTTAAATTTATCTCGTCAGAAAGGCCTTCCTTGATTACCTAATTAGCTCCTCTACAGTCAGTAATTACGTATTTTATCAAGACATTGTTATCTGACATTTATATATTTAAGCCTGTCTTTTCACAACCATAACATAAAGCTCCATAAGAGTGGAGACTATGCTGGCACTTAAAACAGTGCCTGGCACAGCGGACCAAATCAACTCCTAGTCTCACCTCCAAACACAGGCTTGCTCTCAGGCGTGCTGGCCACATTGAAGGCAAAGGGTGTGCTCTGGCTGGATGCGCCCAATGTGTTCTGACTCAAGCCTCCCCCAAAGGGGGCTGTGTTGCCAGTGGTCCCACTCTGTCCTCCTCCAAAGTTGAACGCTCCAGAGGTAGAGCTTGTGCCTGGGGTAGCCACATTGATCCCAAAACCCCCACTGCCAGCTGGGGCTGCTGAGCCCCCAAATGTGAAGGGCGATGGTGCTGTGCTGCCAAACACTGAACTACTGGTCCCGCTGCTGGTGGTCTGGGTTGTAGCTCCAAAGCCAGAAGTGGTGGCTGCACCAAAGGAGAAGGCAGCTGTGGTGCTGCCAAAGGCTGGCTGGGTGCTGGCAGGGGTGCCAAAGGCAGAGGCTGTGGGTTTCAAACCACCAAAAGCTGACTGCGCAGTGTTGCCAAAGGCTGGCTGGGTTGGGGTTGGTGCTGGAGTTGCAGTTGGGGCTGGGGTTGCAGAGTTTCCAAAAGTGAAAGAGTTGCCAAAGCTGGGGGCAAGCGTTGGCTTGGTAGCTCCCTGTTGCTGCCCATCAGTGGCCCCAAAAGGCTGGGGGTTGGCTCCCGGATATGATGGGAGAGGGGCCTTGGTGCTTGAGCCAAAGGGAATGTTGAATGTTGGGGTGGTAGAGCTACTGAATGTCAGGGTAGGCTGGCTGGTGGTGACCGGGGCTGAGGTTGTAAGGGTGCTGCCAAAACCACTAAAGCCAGCGGTGCTGTTGTTGGTGGCTGCCTGCACGGCACTGGGTAGGGACTGGCCAAAGGTGGTGGTGGTGGTCGTTGTCGTTGAAGTAGGAATGGCAGAAAGCTTGCCAAACTGAAATATGGAGCCTGTGGCTGGGGTAAAGCTGGCACCAGCGGCAGGGGGATTCCCAAAGAGGAAAGGCTGGGAGGTGGAAGTGGTGGTGCTAGTCATGCTGTTCATGGTGCTGGTCACATTGCTCACACCAAAGCCAAAAGTAGGCTTCGAAGCTGAGTCGGCAGAGGTGCTGGCTGTGGTCGCAGAAGCCACTGTTGAGGTGGCACTGGCCTGGCCAGTGAAGAGAGGGGCATTTGTGGTTGTGGCTGCAGTAGTTGTCTGATTGAAGGAGAAGGGAGTTGACAAGGACACAGATGTAGGTGGCCCCATGCTGCCAAAAACAGGTTTGAAAGTGATGGGTGAGGTGCTGGTAGTTGTGGGAAGGGCAGAGCTAAAAGATGCTGTGGTTGTGACCTTGGAAGGGCTACATGGCAAGGGGCCCTCATTCTCGCTTTTAGGTGGGGCCTCAAAAATGGGCTTGAACATGGGAGATGCTGAAAACACAGCAGGAGCTGCAGAGGCAGAAGGGTTAGCAGGGGGAGTGCTCAGCATTCCAAACAGAAGACTTGGCTTGGGGCTGGGGGCTGGGGCAGACTGGGCCTGGGATGGGGCAGATGTCTCAGCCTGAGGTGACTTGGTGGTGTCAGTGACTGGTATGGAAGAAGTAGGGGACAGCGCCAAGAAAGATACTGTGGGTTTGGAGTCTGAGGAGGTGCCTGGAAGGGGCGCTGACTGTGAAGAGCCAAGAGGGCCCAGAAGGCTGGGTGTCTTCGGAGGCGAATGGGCCACAGGAGTTGCCACTCCAGCTGAATCATCTGGGGAGAAGAGTAGAGAAAGTGAATTCTGAATATCTCAAACACGATGATAGTCAATGCTTTTGTATCCTCCCTGTACCCAGCACAGTGCTGGGGATTTAAGGGTCAGTCAACAAATAAGACTAAATCTATACCACCGGCCCTTAAAGCATTCATTACCTAAAAATCAAGGAAGTGTTCGTTATTTCCACTCTTCATAGGTCTTAAGGAATACAGAAAGGGATAAAACTTGGCCTAATTGGGTTAAATGTGTGGAAACTTAGTCCAGTTAATAACCTAGATACACCTCACTCATCTAACAAAGATTTACTATACTTGACTACCATATGCTAAGTGCAGAGCATATGACAATGAATGAGACAGTCTCTGCCCCTGAGCCCTGGGACAGGCTGAGAGCTAACATACAACTACTGCATGTTAAGTGAAATAACAGGAGTGTGTATATATGAAGTGCTATGAAAGCAGAGGGCTGGAACAATCAACAGACCCTTGGAAACCTAGAGGGACAAATAATTCATATTATCTTGTGCCTTTGGTCTAATAAGCACGTGACAAGACATCTCAACCATGTAATCACATTTACAATTCAGCGCTACCTCATGAGGTAAGCATTATTCTCATTTTACAGATGACGGCAAGGCTCAGAGCAGCTAAGGAAGTAGGTTTCAAATCAAGAGCCATTTGACTAACAAAACTAAGCTTCTCCTAGCTTAAGTGTTACAGCTCCCCTTCCCTAAAATTTCCTGATTACAGAATCCTGAAGCTCTTAAGCTTACACCAGCTCAGGTCTGGTCAACCAGAATAAGTTCAATCCTTATAATTTCCATTGACTGACAGGCATAATGCTTTTACTTCAACCTCAACAAAGATTGATGCCATATGCTCTAAGGCAGCGGTTCTCAACCTGTGGGTCTCGACCCCTTTGGGGGTCGAATGACCCTTTCACAGGGGTCGCCTAAGACCATCGGAAAACACATATATAATTACATATTGTTTTTGTGATTAATCACTATGCTTTAATTATGTTCAATTTGTAACAATGAAATTGGGGTCACCACAACATGAGGAACTGTATTAAAGGGTCGCGGCATTAGGAAGGTTGAGAACCACTGCTCTAAGGGAAGCTCTCTCACTCACCTGGGAAGGATGTTAGGCCCGGGGAATCCTGCATCTTCTTCAAGCTCTCCAACAGTGGATTAGTGCTTGGGGCTGGGAGAGAGGTTGGAGAGGGAGCAGTCCCAGCAGTAGGCAGGGTAAAAGTAAAAGGCTGAGTGGTAGGTGGGTTCTCAGTGACTGAGCTCGAGGCAGCATCTAAGGAAGAACAAGAAGATTCAGTTGTCCTCCCTGGTTTGGGAATTCTTTCCAGTGGCATATTGCAGGGCATGGGAATGCTCAGTGTCTCAGAATAACTCATTTAGAAATGCTTCTCCTCAACCTCAGCGCTCACTTTCTCCAGATTTACTGAGGACCCACATGGATTTCTCAGATGAGATAGACCAAAAAACCCCCAAATCCTCCCTAGAGTGTGAAACATCTTTATTCCTTACCAGTCTTATCTTCCAAGACCTTGTTGAACCATTGTAATGAAGCTTTCTTTTCCAAGTCTAGGTCCTCAGCAGTAATTGAATAACCAAGCTGGGGAGGTGGAGGCTACCCAACAGAAAAAGGAGAAGTCAAGTCAATCATAAGAAACTGGGAGAAACCTGTATTTAGCCTTCCTAAGACTTAGAGGAGCTAAGAAGGTGGGCAGGGGTAAATGGACAAGACCATACCAAGGTCAGCTGGTCCCCTCGCCTGGAGGGCAGCAGCTGAATCTTCCGTTTACGCTGCCCAGAGCTGCCAGGTGTAGGTGGGGAATTACTCAAGTTCTGTTTCTTCCATGTGGTTGTATCTACAACTAAAGAAAGAAATATAGTCGTTTTCTTCCAGAAATAGATAGGTGGCCGAAGCCGGTTTGGCTCAGTGGATAGAGCGTCGGCTTGCGGACTGGAGGGTCCTGGGTTCGATTCCGGTTAAGGGCATGTGCCTGGGTTGTGGGCACATCCCCAGTGGGAGATGTGCAGGAGGCAGCTGATCGATGTTTCTCATCGATGTTTCTAACTCTCTATCTCTCTCCCTTCCTCTCTGTAAAAAAAATCAATAAAATATATTAAAAAAAAAAAAAGAAATAGATAGGTGTATTTATACCCCCTGATTTGTAACACTAATAACACTAAGTTTTCACTGGGTATCTCTGAAAACTTCATCTTCCAAAGTCTGGGCTCATGGATAGTGTTTACAAGATTATTCCTAATAGTCAAGAGGCTGTACAGAAAGACTTACTCCAGATGCATGCATACCACTGCTGGGCAATAATTCCTGGATTGCTCACAGATACCTCAACCTAAGCTTATCCCCATCCCACAGTTACCCTGGGTTATACTGCATTTGCTTATCACCTCCCTTACCAGACTACAAACCTCTGAAGTACAGAACTTCTGTCTCTGTATATACCAGGCCCTCTACACAGCAATGCTGAAAGTATGATTTGAATAGGTACTAGTCTATACATTCTCCATAAACACTTCTATCACCAGGAGCCACTCTTGCCTATTTATTAACTTACCCCTTTCTCCCTGGGACTCCTTGTCAGTTACTAATGGAGTTGAAGGACTAGAATGATGGGAAAGTTCCTCTTCTCTGTAGGAGAAAAACACAGAATTAAGTTTAGAAAGACTTCCTGACAACAAATACTGAATAACATATCCTCCCAACTCCCAACTGGCCAAAGTCTAGAACAACCATGATCTGAGATCTTAGTATGCCAGGACAAAAAAAAAAAAGTCAAAAGAAAATTCCCTCAGAAATGAAGGGAGGGTAGTTCATGGAAATCATGGAGAAACCACTGTCTTAAAACAAGCACAAATCAATTATCTTCAAAACCTTCCTTACAACCTCCCACGTTACTGAGTGTTCTAGGCATAGATAGAATCCCTAAGAGAGTGGCATTCTAGTGGACTGTAGGTAGGCCTGGAGGGTCAGCTGCAGTCAGAACATGAAGATTACTGCCCGCGGACATTCACTCTGCTCACTCTATTCTACTCTTACACCCGGTCACTCGTACAGCAGAAGAGAACCAGAGGCCCTACACTCAGTGCATAAAGAACTGTAAAAATAAGAGCAATTCTTCTGGGTACTTCTCTGTCCTTCTAGATGTTAATTTATTTGATTCTCTAAATCAGAAAGCCTAAGAGTCAAGTAAATTTCCTGACCAATAATCCACACAGCAAATAAGTGATTACCTTATTTTCTTTGCTGGCCTCTCTGGCGTCTGGGAGCGGGATGAGGCTGGGCTGGAAAAGGGTGATGAACTTGGACCACTTCTCTTCCATAGCTAAAAGTCAAATAAAAGTAACATTACTGACATTAGGTGATACTTCAGCATTCAACCTTTAATATAATTTTGTGGTTCTATTCATACTGCATATAAAGTCCCCTTTGTAAGTGACTAAAAAATATTTCTTTGTGAAGGAAGGCTCCTGAAAAGAAAGTCAGTTGCCAATATTAACTATGGGATAAAAAAGTCTGAAAAGTAATGGAATGCTATTAAGTGTAGAAAGAATCAATGTACTTTTTGCATATATTAAAAAGGAACATTAATTCAATAATGACTTAGAGCTATGATGCATAAATTTACTCTATATTGTCTATAGAAATGATCAGAGTAAATTAAACTGTTCTAGTGAAGACAAGTCCATAAACTAACTTAGTTTTCCTTCATTAAATTTTCAGCTTTACTTTATTAACTTTTTAAAAATATGCTGTCATGACATTTATGACTTTTACAACATCTATGGTACTTATCATTATATGATAACTATCTATACATCTGTCTCTTCTGCCAGGCAGAGTCCCTTGGCAGCAAAGATAGTCTGTTTATTTGTGTGTTTTTTTTATCCTCACCAGAGGATATTTTTCCATTGATTTTTAGAGAGAGTGGAAGAGAGAGGGAGAGACAGAGGGAAATATTGATGTGCAAGAAAAACATCGATTGGTTGCCTCCTGCATGCGCCCGACCAGGGCCTGGCCTGGGGAGGAACCTGCAACCAAGGTAATTGCCCTTGACTGGAATTAAACCCAGGACCCTTTGGTCTGCAGGCCGACGCTCTATCCAGTGAGCCAAACTGGCTCGGGCAAAGATGGTCTGTTTTCATCTCCACCTCCTTCAAAGGGGGCTACCAGCAAAGTAACTGACAAAGAGCAAGCACCCTGCAAATAAGACGTTAGCCTAACACAAAGGTACTAAACTATCACATTTTCCTACTGGGAAGCGTCTAGTGATTTCTTACTCTGTAACAGTTACATGATATAAGCACAAAAAGGGAGAAAACAGTGCTTAAAAGTTCAAAAGAAGAAAGGAAAGATTTAAAAATCAAAGACAGGTGATAAAACAGAAGAAGAGTTCCATAGACTAATATTATCAGAAAACCCAAGGCTCAGAATTAGATTGAGAAAAATGCTGAAATAAATAACATTTTTTTAAAATGTTATTCTCAGTTATAGAACAAGAAAGGATGGTCATTTGGGATAAATAAATCAATCTTGGGCCTCACACCTTGCATTTTTAATAAAGTGCCCCAGGGTAAAACGTATCTCTACTTCATAAACTGTACATACACACAGAATCCTGATGCAATAGCAATTTACATGTAAAAAATGTATCAAACAAAAGAACTGTAAAAACATTGACAAGTTGTTAAATGACATGGGGTAGAAAACAGACTTTTTATGCCAGAAACAAAAGAAAGAAAATTGACAGAATGTTAAAAATATTGCCATGTGGAAGGAAACTTTACTATATGTATACCTTCTGCACCATTTGTATTTTCTTTTTTTTTTTTTTTAATATATTTTATTGATTTTTTACAGAGAAGAAGGGAGAGGGATAGAGAGCCAGAAACATTGATGAGAGAGATCCATCAGCTGCCTCCTGCACGCCCCCCAGTGGGGATGTGCCTGCAACCAAGGTACGTGCCCTTGACCGGAATCAAACCTGGGACCCCTGAGTCCGCAGGCCGATGCTCTATCCACTGAGCCAAACCGGTTCGGCTGTATTTTCAATGACACTAATGTTTCCATAATCTAAAAATAAAATCTATATAGGCAGGAAACAAACAAACGTATAAACAAACTAAAAGGCAAGTATTTTCAATTAAAGTGATGAGTTGATATCCTCAACATGTCAAAATTAATAATTTGCAACTTCATATAAATATAATGAACATATAAAATAGTAAGTGGCCTAAAGATATAACAAAGCAAGTCACAAAAAGAGATAGTCAATCTATGTATGATGGCAGTCAATTTAGTTCTGCTTTACAACTCAATTTTCATTTACCAATTTCCTACTTTTTTAGATTTTACAAATAATGGAAAGATAAGCAAGACCATTTCCATCAAGAAATTTATGATTTGGAAAAGAGTGCATAAAATGACTATAATAGTCTCTAAGAAGGTGACATTTGAGATGGTCTGCAGTTTGATAAAACATACTTATTCCAGATGGAGAACAGAACAAGAAAAGGGAAGAAAGCACGAAAATAATAAGTGCTCTTAGAAGATAATGAATGTTCTAGCTTGGCTTAAATATAGGGTATAAATAAAGAAATAATAAGACAGTCACAAAAGCAATCTAGGGATATGAAGTTTTGAATGCCCACTTTGAAAAATGACAAGTCTTGTAAGACACACGAAGTATCAATGCCATGCACAAAGAGGTAGGAGGACAGTTCACTTTCTATAATTGGTACAGCCTAACATTTGTAATAATCTTATAGAATAAAAGGCTAATATGCAAATTGACCAAATGGTGGAACGACCGGTCGCTATGACGTGTACTGACCACCAGGGGGCAGATGTTCAATGCAGGAGCTGCCCCCTGGTGGTCAGTGTGCTTCCACAGGGGGAGCGCAGCTCAGCCAGAAGCCGGGCTCGTGGCTAGCGAGGGCAGCAGCAGTGGCGGGAGCCTCTTCTGCCTACGCAGCAGCGCTAAGGACACCTCGGGGGATGTCCGACTGCCAGCTTAGCCAGACTGTGAGAGGGCGCAGGCCAGGATGAGGGACCCGCCCTCCAATGCACTAATGTTGTGCACCGGGCCTCTAGTTTTATAATACAAAGCTACAACTTCTAGTTTGGGAAGCTGTAGATTTAGGTATTTACTAGTACTCCTCTGGAAAAATACATTAAGTCAAATGTATACACTATCACACCAAATCTATATTGATTACTGGGGATATTTACTATTTCATATTTTTATTGATTTCAGAGAGGAAGGGAGAGGGAGAGAAAAACATTGGTGATGAGAGAGAATCATTGATTGGCTGCCTCCTACATGCCCCACACTGGGGATCGAACGCACAACCTGGGCATGTGCCCTGACCTGGAATTGAACTGTGACCTCCTGGTCATTGAGCCACGCCAGCCAGGCCACATTTCTTTCAAAGAGAAGCTTCAACATAAAGAACTTTCATATTACTTTATCCCCTTCCTAAGATCTACTTCTGAGAGCTTACCATATATTCCAATATCACAAAACAACAGGTAACTACTTACAACAGAACACCTACTAAGAGCTATTAGTGTCAGTGAGTGTGGATTCACCAGGAGTAAGCGTGCTTTAAAACACAATCTGACCATGTTTTAAGCAATGGCTATGTTGTTTTAGACCAACGGCTCTCAACCTGTGGGTCGCAACCCCTTTGGCGGTCGAACGACCCTTTCACAGGGGTTGCCTAAGACCATCCTGCATATCAGATATTTACATTACGATTTATAACAGTAGCAACATTACAGTTATGAAGTAGCAACGAAAATAATTTTATGATTAGGTCACAACATGAAGAACTGTTTTTAAAGGACCAGGAGGTTGAGAACCACTGTTTTAGACCAAATCGCTTATTGAGGAGGACAAGCAGAAAATGCTGAAGAAAATGTGAAATACATCTGTATGAAGAAGGTATGGTAGTATGAAGAGCTCCCAAGGCGGTGAGACATTGTAGGGACAAGACAGAGGAGCCAAGAGGTGAGACCCACACTTAGGCCTACATTTTCCCTCCTGGTGACTGCCAATTTCAAAAGTAAAAGCTGCCGCTGAGAGGCTGAGAAAAGCTTCTGGCATCCCTCAGGCCTGGAAAGATAAAAACTGGAATTCAGGGCTTTCCAACATAGAGGGGCCCTAAACACCTCAGGCTTTGGTTGGTATCCCAAAGGCTACATACTTGGATATAGGGCAAATAGGAAAAAACAAGCCCTCATAAGAACTGACAACCAATTCAGAATCATGTTAATTCCAACTGGAGAGAGGTAATTGGCCTCTATTCTAGCCGCTTGCTAGAGGCAAAAATAAAACCTCTCTGGAAGAGACCATCATTCAGAGCTTCAAGTCACCGTTACCTCCCAGGAGTGGCAAGTGGAATGGGGGAGGGAGGTCCTAATGTAAGGTGACAGGAGAAGATTTGACTTTGGGTGGTGGGCACACAGTACACTATACAGATCTTGTAACATAGAAACCCACACATGAAGCTTATATGTTCATGTTGACCAATGTCACCCCAATCAACTTAAAAAACAAACAAAAAAACATATAAAAGTATATTAGAAAAGAGAAAAGGCTGAAAAACAACAACAACCCAGTGATCTAAGAATCTATATTCAAAATTCAGAAAGAAACCCTAGCAGATCAAACACAAAGAAAGAAGGAAATAGTACCTATAAGAGCATAAGTTAATAAAACAGAAAAACAGGTAATAGAGTGGTTCCTAAAATTGGTTCTTTATCTATATAACCTTGGAGAAGAAATTTCCTTAATCCAATAAAGAATATCTATAGAAAATCTGTATCAAACGTCATACATAACATGAAACATGGAAAGTGCATACTCTGAAATCAGGAAAAACAAGAACAGGATGTTTGCTCTCACTTCTGTTCAATATTATACTAGAGGTATTAACCAAGTGCAGTAAGGCATAAACAAACAATGTAAGGCTTGGGGTAAAAAAAAGGCGGGGGGAGGGGGGACTGTCATCATGTCATCATTATAGAGAACACGACTTACATATAAAATCCTGAAGACTATATAAATAAATATTCAGAATTAAGCAAATTTTCTGAATTAAAAACAAGTTCTGTTCTGACCGGTTGCCTCAGTTGGTTGGAGCATTGTCCCATACTCCAAAAGTAGGTTCAATTCCCAGTCAGGGTACATACCTGGATTGTGGGTTCGAACCCCAGTAGGGGCACATACGGGAGGCAGCCAATTAATGTTTCTTTCTCTCTTTTTCTTTTCGTTCCTCTCTCTAAAAACATTAATAAAACATATCCTTGGATGAGGATTAA